TTAGGATGCCCTCGTACTGCCAAAATTTTAAATATGCAAAAAGAACTTGATATTCCAAGCATCAGAGATCGTGTTACTGAAAGAAATACCCTAATTGGAGTTAATATGCTCAGGCAAGCTCATTCAAACCCCTGCACAGAAGCCCTCCAAACTTTCCTCAGCACTGGTGAACACTCCTCTAGATGGATCGAAAAAACGGGAAAACCGACCTCCGCATGAATCAGATACATGATCTATGTCAAGTAAGGCAACAGCGGCACTTCTCCGCTCCATGGAATATTACCCTATTCCAAACTACCATTCCTCCATTTCCCCCCAAACTACTTTTTAAATCACAACCAAAACTTCGCCTTGAAGCCAAACATGATGCCTTAAGCTGTATTGATAACTTAGTCACACAGCACACACTCTCGCAAATTATTTATGCTGATGGTTCTGTTCACCAATCCACTGGTGCAGCTGGTAGTGCTGCTGTTGTCGTACAGAGTGATGGCTCTCTTAAAGAAATTGGAAGCAGGGCATCAATAATTGGGCCTCTACCCTTCAGACAGAACTGTTTGCCATACTCCTTGCACTGAAATGCATCTATGTATCAAAGATTGACAGTTTAATTGTAACTGATTCTGTCATCCATAAATGCTCTCAACTCATTAAGCATAAATTGTGGCATGCTTGTGTCAGAAGCCAGACACAGGTATGGTAGGATTGTGGACAGTGGAGTCAGAGTGCACGTGCTGTGGATTCCATCTCACATTGGTCTTCAGATGCATGATAGAACTGATAAATTGGCTAAGCTGTATGCTTTCAAAGAGGGAGTAGATTACAATCTTGGCTTGTCAGGTAGTAGTTTGAGAACAATAATACGAAAAGAACTTCAACTGAATTTTATGGACTTAAGGCTCAGGGAGATTGACACCAGTGAGTCCATCTATCATCATTCTATCATGCAGGAGGAGCCACATGTCTATGGTGCATCCAACAAAATAACCAGACTCTTGGATGTCACTACTGCCCGGCTCCGGCTGGGTTACAAGTATCTTTGGCAGGTTAAATCACCACCAGATGTAGACCAAACGAAATATAAACTTTGCCAGATGGACTATTGTCACACCCTGCGTCATTATGTACTGGAGTGCGATAAAATTAATGAATTTAAAAACAACTCACTCAGAAGTGTTCAAGAAATGGCTAAGTATTTTATCCACAGTGGTATATTACAGACCATTCTGGAGAAATACCCTGACTTTGCTAGCTGTAAATAAAGCATTACCACATGTGTGCATGTGTGCATGTGTTTGTGTGTGTGTGTTTGTGTGTGTGTTTGTGTGTGTGTGTGTGTGTGTGTGTGTGGGTGTGTGTGTGCACTCACCTAGTTGAGATTGCAGGGGTCGAGTCCAAGCTCCTGTGTGCGTGTACTCGCCTATTTGTGGTTGCAGGGGTCGAGTCTTAGCTAGGTTTGTGTGTTTGTGTGTGCGTGTGTATGTGTATGAGTGTGTGTGTGTGTATGAGTTTGTGTATGTGTGTTTGTGTTTGTGTGTGTGTGTGTGTGTGTGACTCAGCAATCAATAGTTGCACCAATAACTCACTACAGTTGTGACCGGGTGTGGAAGTGTGAATTGCTCATTACTCTAAAATTTGTTCATGATTGTAGCCATGTATAAACGCAAGTAACCATTCTTACAGTATTCATTACCTTTGTAACTTGAGTTGTTTACCTTGTACCTAGTTCAGCCATCAAAACTTTGGAGCCGGGTCCCTGGACCCATTGTGTACCTCTATAATCTGTTAATACCTTTGTAACTTGTCATGATTGTGACTAGACCTACCTGGAGTTCATTACCTTTGTAAATTGTGAGTTCATTACCTTTGTAAATTGTGAATTCATTACCTCTGTAACTTGCTCAGCCATCAAAACTTTGAGGCCCAGTCCCTGGACCCATTATGTACCTCTGTAATCTTCTGACTACCGCCCACAGGATGGGTATGGGGTGCATAATAAACATATTAAACTAACTAAAAACTTATTCTTCTTTAAGTCCTGGTATGGGGGAGTGCGAGGGAAAAGTTCAAGAGATAGGAGTAGCAAGCGAGTATATGGTGATGATAGTTTGATTGCCGGCTGCTTGTTAAGGTAGGGTCAGTCTAGCTCCCGCTATCCCTTCCCCCCCCGTTTCTCACCACCCCGAAAAGGTGACGGTGTGGGGCCCTGGCAACAGTAATCACTCGACTCACAGATCCCAGCACAACTGTAGTAAAAGCTCTGCTCTATTTAGTGGATTATGGTTGAAAGCTTCACTTTTGATAAATAATAAACTTGTTCTTTCAGCCTTGATCTCCAGCTAGATGTTTTGATTTTATCACCACGTCTTTTAGGGTATTATACTTATATGGAGAGTGATTTCTTAAAGCAGGTGGGTAACCCCTTTGGGGGGTCTCTCTTTCCAGCTTGCGGAATGACAGATGATCGGGTCACTGCCACCAACGAGGATAGAAGTGTTGATTGGAAAGGACTTTTGCAAAAAGATCCGGAGATGTTTCAGGATTTTGGATCTACCTACCTGATTAACTGTGGAGGGACAGCAGACAACAACCCCTCATCTTGGTAAGTGGTAAAGAACCTGCTTTCCTGTCATCTGGACTATTAAAGGCTATAGACTCTGTGAAGAACTAGCCATTGAGTTATCACCAACACCTGTGACCCCCCCCCACATCAGCAATGGCTACAATTTCTACAAGACGGTGTCAACCTCAACCAGACACTCCAGTATAACTGTACATATTAGCGTTGAATTCAAATGTCATTTTTTCATTTCATTTTTCATTTTTCTTTCAAATAGGATACACATTCATGTTTCAATGTTTTATCTTTGCATTAATAAATAATAAAGTGTTTATCTTTGTGAATTATCATTTCTTTTTCTATTCATCAATTTTCCTGAGGAGGAGCCAGCCTTGGTAATACTGTCTGAAGCTGTTACAGGGCTGAGTAAGCCTTCACACAAGGAACACCAACCTCCCCCCTCCCGTGGCCACGCTCCCTCGCGGCACCTCCACCAACATTCCCCTCCTGTGGCCACGCTCCCTCGCTGCACCTCCACCAACCCCCCTCCCGTGGCCACGCTCCTTCGCTGCACGTCCACCAACATCCCCCCTCCCGTGGCCACGCTCCCTCGCTGCACCTCACCAACAATCCCCCCCACCCACGCATCCTACCTATACAAATCACCCTGAAACCCCTGCCCACACTCCCCTTCTCCCCCCACTACTGACGACCAACAATATTGCACCCTCTCCATGGGCTTCACTCCCACATTCTTACCCTCAGTTTCAGATGCAAACAAACCCACACACTCACGCCTTACCATGTCTCATGGCCCACATACTGGTCATGTAGCCACCCACACTAACAACTGCACACTCAGCCACCCCACCACATCCCCCCCCACAATGGGTCATCGACACCCAACACGGTCTCCACCTCGCTGCTTCCAGTTCTCCACCCCACACCCCTCTGATGTTGTGATTCTTGAAAAGTTGGAGAAAAAACCTCGATGTTGTGATTCATGAAGTGGAATCCTTGTTGTTGTGATTCTTGAAAGTGGAGATCATCTGATGTTGTGATTCTAGAAAGTGAGGTCCTCTGATGTTGTGATTCTTGAAGGTGGAACCTATGTTGTTGTGATTCTTGAAAGTGGAGATCCTCTCGTTGTTGTGGATTCTTGAAAGTGAGATCATTGATGTTGTGATTCTTTGAAGGTGGGTCCTCTGATTGTTGTGATTCATGAAGGTGAATCCTCTTGTTGAGTGACAATCATGGAGGTGAGATCCTCTGATGTTGTGACTTCTTGAAGGTTTGAGGTCCTTTGATTGTTGTGATTCTTGAAGGTTGAGATCCTCTGATGTTGTGATTCTTGAAGATTGAGATCCTCTGATGTTGTTGTGATCTTGAGGTGAGGAACTCTATGATGTTTCACTCAAGGTCCTTCACGTTAGTGTTTTAGCTTTATTGTGATGAATTTTAAGACTCACTCGCCATGGATTCAAACCAAATCGTTCTCTAATTTTCTTTCATTCTTGTTTATACGACTTCGTGAACCGTTCTAGCTATTATTCCTTAAGTTTCTAATAACACAGTAACTAAAATTTGTCCTCACTGAAGGTTCATACTGTTTTCCGTTGTCCAATGGAAAACTTAGTTTATATAATAATAATAATAAATTTTATAATCAAATCTTTATTTTTTACAAGTACATGTACAAGGTATACAGACCATAGCTGCCATCAATGACATACTACTACATAGAAAGCCACTTGTTATTAAATAGAGTTTACCTGGATATGCAGAGCTTTTCCCCGCATATTAGGTTTAGTATTGTCCCAGGATGCAAACCCACACCAGTCAACTAACGCCCAGGTACCTATTTTACTGATAAATGAACATAGTAGCGGTGTTCTTAAAGGAACACGTCCTAATGTTTCCACCCATACCGGAGACTGAACCAAAGACCTCAGTGTGTGAGCTAAGAGTACTTAGCAATTGTGCTACGGGACACCTTTAGATTTGCTATGTCTAAAATGGATGACACCTCGTGCATATTCTTGTATTGTCTGCAAAGACGGGGTGCTGTGGTTTACATTCTGTCATTGTCTGATATGAGGATGAGACAAGATTGGGGCGAGTACGTGCCTTGTAGAACAGTGCTGCACACTCTGCCAGTCTCCGCCTCAACTCTACCATTGCTCTTTGTGTTCGATTGGTTAGAAACCTAAAGATTTATCCTCCCATTTTTCCTGTTTTTTCCTTTGGTAGGTACCATCATGGTACTGGGATACAGCTGTGACAGTTCCACATCTTTATTTCCTTGGTGGTCGACCCACTATAACATTAAATGAATCGTAATTAAACTGTTTATTTTTTATTAGATTTATTTGCAATATGTTATTGCAATAATCATAATTGCAAAAAGTATCTCATATTTTTTTCTCTTATGTTGTTGCAGATATGAAGTCAGCTGTTGATGATCTGTCTCAGCTTATACAAGGTAACTTTTACTAATCAGTCTTCATTTTAATATATATAATTTTGTACTAATTATAGGAGAGAATTTTTTAAATCTCTCGAGAATATAAGTTCCTCATTACCAGTTTGTCTAATGGTGGCAAAATTCTTTAATAAAATGTTTTTTGACTGAGAAATCAATGATGAAATCAAGTAATTCTATAAATTTTAGACTTTCACACACTAAGGGTAACCGTGGACGGTGACACCTACGCTATTATGAGACCTCTCTCCCTGCTTTGGTTGCTCCCTTGCAAAATTGCACAGCTCCTGATGACGCATTGAGAAGTGTGAAAGTACTTGAGCTAAAGATTTCCACCCTCCCATGGCTTGTCCTGCATAGCTAAGATCGCCCATCTGCGATTGTTTGCATATAATATATATATATATATATTTTTTTTTATATATATATATATATATATTATATATATATTTTAATATAATATATATATATATATATATATATCAATAACAACACTGCGACTAGTCAAGGATTCGAACCCATGCCGTTCTGGCTGGCTTCATGGTGAGCGAAAATCACACATGACGCTCTAACCCTCTGGTGTTGTGACCATATTTTTATTTATTTTTTTTATTCAAACGTAATATTCCAACTGTCTACTTGCAGATAATAGTAATATGTTGAGAGAGTTGTCGCAGACCTTAACATCCTATGTGTCACAACATGCAGCAGCAGCAACAGCAGCAGACCCTCAAGGTAATGTTAGTCATTTGCCTCTCCTATGTGGACGCATCCAACTTGTTTTAGGGTCAACTTGAGATGTAATGACATGATGCAAACAACTCTCTATACACAAATGATCCGCACTTAAGAGAAAGAAACTTACGACGTTTTAGTCTGGCTTGGACCACTAACTAGTGACACTAGTGTCAAGGGAAGGGTGCCAGAATATTACGAGAGGAGGGCGGGTACGGCAGAACGAGGGAAGGAAGTAGTGTGAAGATGGAAGTAGTGGTAGAAAACAGTGGCAGAGGTGGTAATAAGAAGGAAATAGTAGTGATACAAGAGTCAGAGAGTGGAATATTCGCAAGGCAATAGTAGTAGTAATAATTGCAACAGTAGTAGTAGCACTACAAGCAGCAGCAACAGCAGCAGTAACAGTACAAGCAGCAGCAGCAGCAGCAGCAGCAACAGTACAAGCAGCAGCAGCGGCAGCAGGAGCAGTAGAAGCAACAACAGCAGCAGCAGTAGCAGTAGTAGTAGTAGCAGCACAAGCAGCAGTGGTAGTAATAGTAGGAATAATAGCAGTAGAAAGTGGAGGTAATATTAGGAAAAGAGAAAAAATGAGCACTGCAGGAGAGCTACTGATCCTCAAGGATGGGACCTAAAACACAAGGATAATAAACCCTTAGGACAGATCCCATTCAGGCAGAAGAAAGGAAAGGCAAAAAATTATAGGAGAAGAGAAAAGGTAAGGAAAGGAGGAGATAAAGATCAGATAAAGTTACAAGTGTTCTGATGTTTGGAGAACTAAACACTAATGAGAAATGAAGGTATCCTCAGGTACACAACCAGGCTTAAGATTCATATTAGGAAAGTTGTGTGTAAGGGAAGCTTCTGCAAGATGGCCTCTGTGAATGTTTTCCACCACCACCATGTTAAGGTTCGAATCTTAATCTTTAGCCAGGTTAGTGCACTCCGTAACAATACTCTTCACAGAATGAGAAGATACTTCCAAACTTAGAAATGTAAGGCACAAATAATAGTTACTCAGTCTTTTCTAGTTTCTTTTTATTTAAAAGCTTAAATACTTCTTAGATATTCAGAAATATTTATTAAATATCACTTCGTCAGAAACTTTCATTCACATAAGAAAACACTTAAATAAAATGTACATAAATATGGTCACTATGTAGTGATACTGGGCCTGTGGGGAGCAGCAGCAGGATAATACTGCACCACCTCTAGGGGCCCTTAACAACAACAACAGTTTGGCGTGCGTCATGGGCACCAACATATGGTGTGTGATTCTTCCCCCTACTTTATCCATTTATACCTAAAGTCATTTCCCGGGTCACCCGGGGGCTGTGGCTCGTATGTTGGTTTGCGTGCACCCCGCAGCAACAGTGGTTGTCGGGTTTTGATCCACCAGGGGGCCTGGTCTCGACCGGGCCCCCGGGGGGGTTTACCCCCCGGAACTCTTCCCGGTAAACTCCAGGAAAAATCCGGTATCACGATGCAGTTACATGGTGAGTTTAAATATTGGCCTGTATTATAACTTTTCTCTTGAATATGCAAAACTCACCCTCCCGTAGAAACCATTATTGAGTTATCATTTTATTTTGTTGTTTCAGAAAATACTTGAAGATTCATGTTCAATAAAGCCTAGAGATAAGGCCTGTGTTTTTTTATCACAACAATTTATTGAAATAGAATCGGGTACCGGTGGTGACCTGCGCTAGACTACATCACAACATGGAGCGTTTACTGGAACCTGAGGAGGCTAGTAGACTGGACCCCAGTTTTCAACGGCCCCCTGCTAGGAAATGGAAGCACTGGTTTAAGACTTTCGAAAACTTCTTGGGAGCCTCTAAAGAAAGATTAGATAAACTAAGTCTGCTCATCATTTTTGTGTCACCTAAGATATATGAGGCTATTTCTGAGTGTAATAACTACGAGACGCTATCAAACCCCTCAAGTCTCAGTATATTAACCTACAAATGAATCTTTGCAGCTATCGCCTTGCAACTCGCCGACTAGAAGATTGGATGAGTACCTTTGAGGATTACTTTCAAGGCACTGAAATTTTAGGTTAAGAGACTGTCACTTCCATGCAGTTGACAGTGCAGTCAGTTTTGTGAAGAGTTCAATCAGGGATGCTTTTTTTCAGTGGCCTGCAATCACAATAATAAGGCAGGTTTATTGGAGAATATAACTCTCGACTTAGCCGTGCTTTACCTGCAAGAGCTCTAGATTCAGACAGAGAAATGCTGAAGTATACAGTACCACTCAGCTTCTCGAGTGGTAAGTGCTGCATTCCTGACCAAGACTCTTGCAATGCAAGTTACTGGGGATCCTGCCTCAGTGACAGCAGCAGCAGGTTACGGTGTGTTTCTTTTGTGGTTTTCAAGACATCCACGTCCCAAAGTGTCCTGCTTCGTGAAGCAATGTGCCCCATAAATGCCACAAGGGAAAGGTCACTTTGCCTAAAGTATGTCGTGCTAATGCATCAACAGAGCCTAGTGCCTCCACACATTCCAGTGATTCATGCGACTCTAGCAACTGTGACTTCTGCGGCTACTCCAAATTCACGTCAAAGGCAGTTGTGAAAGTATTTCATCATAGGAACAGAAGTAGATGGTCTTATTGATAGTGGCAGCTCAGTGAGTTTCATCACCTGACTTAGTTTTAAACGCGCTCTCCTTGACTCTACAACATCATCAGGTACGTTTCCATGGCATCAACATCTCTCTATATTCAGACTTAGGGTTTTGTAAGGTAAATCTCAGTGTTATTGGAGAGGATTAATCAAGATGTACATTTAGCTTTTCTGCCACAACTGTGCTCTGAGGTATCCTTGGTCAGGGAACTTTCAGAAAGCTGCATGGTTAGGGTCACCTTAACATATTGGAGGTTGAACTGCTCCTCTTGTTGTCTGTGGACTTAGCACTTTAAGGGTAGACCACCAAAGCTGTTTGCAAATCTTACCGTGGATTGCCATCCTATATAGCTAAGTCACGCCGCTAATTCTTATGAGGATCGGATGTTCATTGAGAAAGAAACTCAGAGGCTGCTGTAAGGAGGGTATTCTAGAACCGAGTGAATTCCCTATGGCGTGCACAGGTTGTTGTTGTTAAAGATGGTTATAGGAAAACGGAGACTGGCCTATCGATTACTCTGTGACAAATCACAAATTTAAAACTTCTTGATGGGTACCCTCTACCTCGAATTGACGATTAAGTGAACAAAATTGTCAGTACTACGTGTTTAGCAAATTGAAATCTGCAGAGTGCCTATCATCAAGTACCTAATAGGAATGGAAGATAAAACCATACTCAGCGTTTCAGGCTTGTGTTGGCTGTATCAGTTACCAGAGAGTCCCTTTTGGAGGTCACCAATGGGGTTTGCCTGCTTCCAACGAATTATGGATTCACTCATTCAGGAAGAGAAATCATAGGGAACTTTACGTGTATTTAGCTAATGTTACCAATTGTGGCAAGACCCTGGCGGGAACATGATGCAAACCTTGATAGTTTTTGGGAAGCCGCCCAAGAAGAAAAATTATCAGTTACAATGAGGAAAAGTGCACTTTTTCAAACTAAAAGCTAGCATCCTTGTTATGTAGTGGAAGGGTTCAATATTCCAGACCCTGAACGACTACGACATCTACGGGAACTGCCAATGCCTCAAGACAAAAAAGTCACTCCGAAGAACTCATTGGTCTCTTTGCTTATTACTCACAATGGATCTACAAACTATTCAAGTAAAGTCCGCCCTTGAGTGTACCACCATTTTCCTGTGACAAGGAAGCAGAAGCCGCTTTCCTACTCTCAAAACAGGAATTGAAAAAATCAGTAAGTTCAAGCCATTGATGAGTTCCCTACATTTCGGAAAGTGGAAACGGATGCATTCTGACTTGCCATGGCTGCTGTCTTATCTCAGGCAGGACGACCAGTAGCCTTCTTTTCCGAGAACTTTCAAGGATCAGGAAATGTTTTATGCTGCTGTTAGAAAGGAAGCCAGGGCCCATCATAGAAGCAGTTCGCAACTGGAGGATTATTTATCTGGTAGACATTTCACCATAAGGACTGACCTGCGGTCCCGTGATGTATATGTTCGACATGAGGCACAAAAGTAGGATAAAAGAATGACAAGATATACGCTGGAGGATGGAACTATCGTTTATGACTTTGATATTCTGTACGACCGGGTCAAAGAGAACATCTCACCTGATGCATTCTCTAGGTCCCACTGTGGAGAAGCATGTCATGATTTGCAATCACCTCTCAGCCTCCACAAGGCTTTGTGTGTCACCCAGGAGAGTTACACGCCTGTACTTTTGGCAAATCAAAGAACATGCATCTATCTAGGGGAAGATGTGCGACAAGAGATCAGAGCATGCTGAGTTATGTGCAGAGGTGCATAGCCAACTTTCATCTGCCAGAGAAGAACTCATCTCAATAAAATCACCAGCCCTTTCGAAAGATTGAGATATAGATTTCAAAGGTGACCTCTACCAAGCTCAAAACTTCAGATAGGTATTTCCTTTACTTGTAGATGAATATTCAGGTTTCCTTTGTTATTCCCCTGTGCAAATTGGCGGCTTCAACTTTTAATTAGTGTTCTTTACAGTTGTTCTCTATTTTTGGTGTATATGCCAGCTTTTATCCATCAGACAGGGGGATCCTCGTTCATGAGTAACGATTCAGGAGGTTTTGGCTTAGCAAAGGTATTGCCTGCAGAGAAACTACAAGCTACAACCCTCAAGGGCAATGGTCAAGTGGAGCGGTTCAATGGTACTATATGGAAGGCAGTACAATGACATTAAAGTCGCGCAATCTACCTGTTTCAACACTGGCAACCTGTCCTACTGATGCTTTCACTCTATTAGATCACTGTGTGCACAGCTACTAATGCAACCTCATGAACGACTCTTCAATATTCACGTCGTTCTCTACGGGAGCCCTCCGTGCCAACTTGGTTATTGTCATCCTGGACCCGTTCACCTGGAAGAGTCACCGTAGGATGAAGCAAGA